ATCGAGCCCTGGCGGAGTCCGTAACACTATCCCCTCCCTCTGAGCTGTGAAGGACAGGACGGGGCCGATCACTGATCGGCGTTCTGCACAGGTGAAGTATGATGTGACTGGGTGGGTCTGTAGGGGAAGCTAAGCAATGTTCAGGGAACAGGGGATTTCTATTGATGTTCTACTGGGTAGGGGGAAACGATGTTCAAGAAAACAGGGAATTTCTATTGATGTTCTAGTGGGTAAGGAAAACAATGGTCAGGGGAACAGGGAATTTCTATTGATGTTCTAGTGAGTAAGGGGAACAATGGTCAGGGAAACAGGGATCTGCTAATGACGTGCTACAGGGTTGTCAAAGTCAGGAAAAAAATAAAAAGGAAAATGTTTGTTCAGGAGGCAAGGGCTGGTGTGTCCGAGGGAGTCGGAAGCAGAATCTCATGTAGGGACAAAGTGTCCAAGTGTCTTGAAAGGGGATCTGCAGCGGTCTTGATCAGGTCTTGATCAGGTCTTGGAGTAGGTGGTAGAAGCGGTCTTCAGCGGCTGCGACAGGTAGAAGTCCAAGAAGCATAACAGTAGTTCAAATGTCCAAAGTCCAAGTGTTAGGGTGCGTCCGGTACATGAGCTGCAATGCGGTCTGATCTGGAAGCAAGGAGGTCGCAGACTGATGCAAAGATCCATGTCACAAGTTGCTGCTCTAGAAAGTCCGCGAGTCGGGATGCCGGCCGATGAAACAGCATGGTGGCCAAACCAGTTGCATAATCCTCGTGTGCTAGCCATTCGATCCTTTATCGCCGGCGTCACGCAGAATCACAAACCTTGGACAAGAGAGACAAGGTAGTGGAGAGGACAGATGGGACAAGGCTAGGCGAGGGCAAGGGCAGATCAGACATCAGGAACCGGGGTCGAGGGGAGGGTGGACTGGGTTCAAGGATGTGTGTAGAACGGGGTTGCAAGATTGTAGCATGGTTTATACATGGGTTTAGGGTTGTAGTTACGTGGGTGTCTAGGACATAGGAATAGCACGATCATAGGCGCGACCAAGTTTCATGGCATTCTTGAGATTCGAGAGAGGTTCCGACGTAGATTCTTCGTCGGGGTATCTGGTTCGTTTGACTTTGTATTCAGTGATTCGTTCCGGGTGGTCAGATACCTGAGTAGTTCATCGACCTATGATTGCTTCAACAACGAATCCAGGTTATGTGGATAACATGATAGGTGGAGGTCTAGGATATGGGCGGTCAGCGAATTGGGGTGGACATTCATGATATTTTTTCAAGTATTCGACGTGGAAGACTGAGTGGACGCAGCTCATGTCGGGGGGGAGTTGGAGTTTGTAGTTGACGTCGAAGGTTTTTTCAATGATGGGGAAGGGTCCGAGCCATTTGTTCAAGAGTTTCTTTGACAATCCACGTTCGGGTTCAAAGCGTTTGGCGGAGAGCCAGACTTTGTCCCCTAATTTGAATTGCAAGTCTCGTCCGTGTTTGTTGGTCTTGTTTGTTTGTAACAACAGTTGTTCTTGTGTTCTTTCGAGGGCTTCGGTTGCTTCTCTGAGGAGTGAATTCATTGTTGCTACCCCATTCGTTGAGGGAAGGGCAGGGTGTGGAGGGGTTGAGTTGCGAGGGAAGCAGGAAATCAGAGGGCAAGCGCGGATGGTAGTCAAGGTCAAGGTAGAATGGAGACATGTCAGTGAAAGGACAAACAGCGTTGTTGTAGGCGATCTCGGCGGCGGTGAGCAACTGATCCCAGTCGTGTTGAGGTGGATAACAATACTTCTGTAGGATTCTTTGGAGAGTATCGTTCATCTTCTCGGTTCATCCATCGGTCTGTGGGTGGAATGCAGTGTTATACTTGAGTGTAGTTCTGTAGGCGTTGAAGAGTTGTTTCCAGAACTGTGAGAGGAAACGGGGATCGCGGTTGCTGATGATATTCTCGGGGAGGCCTTGGTGGCGTGCAACATGGTCGAAGAAGAGTAAGGCGATGTCTTTGGCGGTGTGCGAGGTGGTGCAAGGAATGAAGTGGGCGTGTTTGGTTAGGCGGCAGACAATGACGTAGATGCAATCATGCCCCCGGTCGGTCTTAGGGAGACCGCACACGAGGTCCATGGAAATGGACTACCACCGGTGAGTGGGGATGGGCAAAGATTGGCGCTTGCCGGGTTTGACCCGGTTCGAGGGATTGACAGTCTGACACGTGGGACATGAGCGAATGTATGTTTTGACGTCGGCGAGTAGAAACGGTCAATAGAAGTAGCGGGAGATGGTGTTGAAGGTTTTCTGGAAACCGAGGTGATTGTGGTCTCGGCGTCGTGGTTCTCGGCCAAAAGCTGGGTACGAAGACCACTTGTGTCAGGGATGCACATTCGGCGAGTGTCTTTGGTGTCGATGTAGAGGACGCTATCGTGGAGGGAGTAGTCGGGGACTGGGTCAAGATCGCGGAGCTTGTTGTAAATGGCGGCGAAGTTTTGGCAAGAGAGGTAGCCTTGGGTGTATCGTTGATGGAGTGATGGGAGGAGTTGGATATGGGTCATGGCGGTGTAGACTTTCTCGGGGGGCTTGTGGTCGGGTCATCGAGAGAGGGCGTCGGCGACGCGGTTGCTTTTGCCAAGTGTGTGGTAAATGGTGAATGTGAACTGGGCAAGGAAGTCGAGTCATCGAGCTTGGCGTGGGGTGATGTCTTTCTTGGTGAGGATGGAATAAATGATGGTGTTGTCAATGCGGATGGTGACGTATTGTCCGTCGAGGTACGGGCGCCAAACTGTGAGGGCGTGAATCATGACGAGGAGTTCCTTCTCATTGGAGAGGTAATTCATCTCCGCGGGAAGAAGCTTCTTGCTTGCAAAGGGGATGGGGTATTCGTCGGGTGGAGCCTCGTGGTGAGTGGGCGAGTCCTTGATGGAGGGGGTCTCGGCGGTGTCGCAGGGGAAATGTTGGGACAGTGCGACTCCAATGGCGAAGTCAGAGGCATCAGTGGTGACATAAAAATGGCAAGTGGGGTCGGCGATCTGAGCACAGGGGCCGTGGTGATGGTCTGCTTGAGGAAGTTGAAAGTGTGTTGGCGATGATTGTTCCAATTGAAGGGTTCTTCCTTGCGTGTGAGTTCACGGAGAGGGTAAGAGATCTCGGAAAAGTTGCGAATGAACGGGCGGTAATAGTTAGCAAGGTCGAGGAAGGAATGAAGTTGGAGGAGGGTCTTGGGCGGGGGGTACTCGACGAGGGTTGTGACCTTCGAGGGATCCATACGGATGCCTTCAGCAGAGACAATGTGGTCAAGGTATTCGACGCTCGAAGCGGCAAACGTACATTTGTTAAGCTTGCCGTTGAATTTTTGCTCTCGGAGGATCGAAAGGACTTGGCAAATGTGCTGAAGGTGGGACTCGAAGGTGGGGCTAAAGATGAGGATGTCATCAAGGTACACGGCAACATAGACTTTGAGGAGGTCACTGAAGATGTGGTTCATGGTGGACTGGAATGTGGCAGGGGCATTGGTGAGTCCGAAAGGCATAACGAGGAGCTCGTAGTGCCCGAACCGAGAGCGGAATGCGATCTTGTAGGTGTCCTCCTCGCGGATACGGATCTGGTGGAAGCCACTGCGGAGGTCGATCTTGGTGAAATATTTAGCTCCATGGAGGCGATCAAAAAGTTCAGATATTCGGGGGAGTGGGTACTTATTCTTGACCGTGATCCGATTCAAGGCATGGTAGTCTGTGCACATGTGGAGTTTCGAGGTGCCGTTTTTTTTACGAAGAGACAACTGGTTCCGAAGGGGGAGGAACTAGGCTTAATGAATCATTTTTCAAGGAGTTCATTGAGTTGGCGCTTCATTTCTTCGACCTCGGGGACGGAGAGTTGGTACGGAGGGCGGCAAGGAGGAGAATGGCCAGACTCGAGATCAATGGTGTGGGATACACCTCGACCAGGAGGTAAACCGGCGGGCAAGGACTCGGGGAAGATGTCCTTGACTTTAGAGAGGAGAGCGGTGATGTGAGGATCGGAAGGGGGGTCTTGGTCGGGTTTGTCGGTTCGAAGCAAGTCCTCGGGATGCTCATGGTAGATAACAAGACAATAGTAAGCGGAGTCGGGGTGTTCACGAGATATGTGAAGGAGCTGGTGAGGGGAGACAGGGGGTGGGGTAGAAGGGGGGAGAAGGTAAGGAATATCAAGAGGAGAGTCAGGAGGGCGGGTGAGTCAGGCGAAGGAGGGGTGGAAGGAGTAGAGCATCAAACGGTCAAGTCATGGAGTCCCCAAGACGATGTCGCACATGAGGTGCATGACATCAAAGGAGACCTGACTGTGAAGAGGACCGACAGTCATGAGGGCCTCGGGGACAGTGCGATCGACAATGATGGTTGGGTCCTTATCCCCTAGTCGGATGGTGATCGGGGAGTCATAGTAGCCGGTGGCAGAGATGCTGGCTTTGCGGACACAGGCTTTGGTGATGAAGTTGCCGGTGGCACCAATATCAAGGAGGGCCCGGAACTTCACCGTCGATACGCCAAGGGAGACGACAATAAACTTGAGCGGGAACTGTGGGGTTCCGGCACAAGCAGAATAGATCATGGTGTTGAGGCGGCGTTGTTCCAAGCCTAATCTAACAAGTCGATCATGTCGTGCTTGTTCCTCAACGAGATTGGAGAAGGTGGTAGAGAAGGGGTTAGGGATGAGAGTAGAAGAGCAGGTGCCAATGGGAAGCTCGATCGACGGGATAGCGGACGTCGTCGGGAGGGGGGTTGGCGGAGTAGAGTGCGTCGCCTGGGGGTCGTCCTATGGGATGTGCGTCACCGGAGAGGGGGTAGGCAAACAAATAGTCGATGCCAAGTAGGTCATCGGTGGAGGAGAGATCATCACCAATGGGAGAGCCGACAGACAAGTGGTTCATGCCGGGGGAGGATTGCAAGGGATACGGGGACAGTGTTCAGGTGGAGGAGGGCCCGACTGTCGTGGTGGAGGACGAAGTGGGAGTAGAAGGGCCGGGTCCCGCGGAGCGAGGGACCTGTCGAGTAAAGCGGCTAGCGTTGGGACAGTTGGTTTGTTGGTCACCTAATCGGCGGCAACGAAAACACCCGTTGTGTTCCTGGAGGTATAATATTATGCGTTCTGCGTGTGTAAGTTTCTGGAGATGGCGAGGTGGAGAGGAAGAAGGCGATCAGGAGGCACGATTCTGGCGTTCCATCCGCATAAGGTGGGCGGCCTGAAGGTCCTCAATGGTGAATTGGGAGGGGTCGAGAGAGGCAGTGTCGAAGTCGTCATCGGAGGTGGGTGGAGTGGTGTCGTCAGGGGTGATGTTATGGAAGAAGCGGGGGTGGAAAGAAGCGGGCGCGCGCTGGTGATGGGGGTGGAGGAGTCGATCGTGGTGAAGCATGCGAGGGAGGAGGTCAGCAAGGGGCATGTCGGGTTCGTGGGCGAGGGCGGTCGTGAGATCTTTGTCGCATACTCGCTTGATCCGGGAGATGAACGTAAAGTCGGGAATGACGGTGGTGGGGAGGTGATGGCAGAGGGAGCGGATGTATTGGACGAAGCGGTCTATGGGACCGGTCTGGTGGAGGTGACAGAATTGTTCGAGGTAGTCATCGATGGTTTTCTGGGGCGGAAGGTGGCAGTGAGACGGTTGGCCCATTGGAGCAAGGAGTGACGCGGTCCTCCGGAGCCGCGGCGGTCGCTGACTTCGGCCGTCCACCATTTGGCGGCATTGCCGAGGAGGCGGGAGATGGCAATGGGAAGCCAGTGGACAAGGGGTATGTGGTGGAGCTTGAAAGAGTTTTGGAGCTGGGTAAGGAAGAGGAAAACGTCCTCATGGGGAAGGTTGAAGAAGGCCATGATGTCGGCGGATCAGAAGGAACGGGGGATTTCCCCTTCGTGGGAAACGATCCGGGCGAGGGTGTTGAAGTTGAGGTTATCGGGGGTAGTGTTGTAGCAGGTGTAATCGAATTGGATGTTGTCGTCAA